AGTACCTTTCAAATATCTGAAAATCTATTTGACTGCCTCCCAATGCTGTTTACCCGACCTAGACATATACTTGCAAACTTGACCAACAACATGAGCTAAATCAGGACGAGTACAAACCATGGCATACATCAGACATCCAACAGCACTGGCATAAGGTATCTCCACCATATCCTGAGTCTCCTTGTCCGACTTGGGACACTGATCAACAGAAAGCTTGAAGTGGTTTTCTAATGGAGTGCTCACCGGTTTTGCTTCATTCATCCCAAACCTCTGTAGCACCTTCTCCACATAACCCTTCTGAGATAACCACAACTTCTTTGATCCTCTATCCCTGTGAATCTCCATCCCCGCGAACAGGGTTCTTCAATCTTCGAGCGCCTGCAATACGCCCCTGCCTTGTCAGCAACTGCATTGCTGCAGAACGCTGCTCAGATGGGTCCACAATCAAACTCGTCGCTCCTTATGCACTACTAGTACTCGTTTTGTAGTATTTAGTACCTACTTTGTAGAATGAATAAAAAAAGATATGAAGGATTTAAGGAATTTATGAGCATGTTTGTTTATGATTTTTTTTGGTTTTGTTTGAATTTATGTTTTGAAAAATAGTACATATTTTAACAAAAATAGTACCGCATCGTCTTCTACGTGGTATCTCTTTGTGTATGATTAATACTTACTTTTGTGAAGGAAAAAAAAAACCATTTTGTAAAACAGTACCAGTTCTACAACAAATAGTACCACCTTTTATTATACTCAGTACCATTTATTGATTAATTAGTACCAACTTTGTAGAAAGAATAAAAAATTGATTACTTTGAATTCTACCTATATGTTTTTAAGTTCCACTATTTTTCAACCAAATCACGCGTGAACGATCCGTTTAGTATATTAATTAATAATTCTATTTATATTAATTAATATTTTTCAACCAACTCCAACGAACATAAAAAATAACGAATCTCGTAAAATGGTACCAGTTTTTCAATAAATAATACAACTCCTTCTTCTATGTAGTACCGATTATTGACGAATTAGTACTTACTTTGTAGAAAGAACAAAAAATAGATTACTTTCAATTTGGTCGACATTTGCAATATTAGTACTAGACCTAGAGTAAGATAACACCACAATTACGGTGTTATAGTACCAGATATCGGGTCTTCAGTACCAACTCCGATGAACGTAAATATACCGATTTTGGTAAAATAGTAGCAGTTTTGACGCAAATAATACAACTTTTTTCTGCGCAACACCAGTTATTGACCAATTAGTACCAACTTTTGGTCAATGAAAATGGACTATTCAATTGTGGTCAACATTTACAATAATTGGTACCAGACGTATTGTTAGATAGTACCATCTTTCGGTGTTTTAGTATCAGATATTGGGTCTTTAGTACCACTTGTAGTGAACACATAAAAACACCGAATTTCGCTCTCAAATGAAGTTTATATGACCAATAGTCACTCTCATATTATTTCCTATGAGATTTAAAATGTTCTTAATTTAGTTTAATCATAAAATGGTCATGAACTCGACACACTAATGAAAAATCACTACTAATACACTTCATTTAATTGAATGACACACTTCATCTCATAGAATCATCATACATGATACTCAAAATTCTAC